GCCCTGGTCTGTCCACTTGCTGTACAGAGGTTACTCATGGTTGCTGTGAAGCTGAACACTGTGACACTGATGTGTCAAATGTGATAATGGTTACCCATGGTGGACAGTGTTTGGTGGAGCTCCCCAATTAAAATAAGCTTGGAAGAAGGAGTGGCATCCACTTCCGTAATAGCTTGCTTCTAGAAACCCTTTAAACATGGTGAGAGGATGAGAGACACCCAAGCGTTGAGGACTCGCCTTCATAGGGTCGCTATGAGTTGCCTGCGACTTGACGTCACTTAACAACAACAACAACTTTAAGAATCTCTTTTGCCCTTTGTTTCATTTATGCTTCCCTGTCAAATGGAAATAACCTCTTATCTTTAAAAAATCTTCCAATAAAAGATTTTTTTTTTCCAAGAGAAAAGTGAACTGGAGCAGGGAGGGGTGGGCAGGGAGGAAAATGTGTAACAATGAACGAATGGAAATCCAAGTTCTCTGTAAACTTTCATTAAAATCTCAATTTTTAAAAAAGAATCTTCTCTTGAATTCACTTCCTTCATTAGTTTATACTGCTTCATTTTCCCTCCTTTGTAACCCAAGCTAAGAGATCTCTATGGTTCTATTTCTTTTCTTCCATTCTCCTTCCCCTTCCTTTTGTCATAGTTCAAGACCTGAAACACTCTGAAAATACTATTCTCATGGTCTTGTATTCACCCCAGTATGCAAATAACTGTATGGATGGACTTCTATCTCATTTGTTTCCTATTCTCTTCCGTACACTGATTCATCCATGGAATTAATCACAAGTCTTCAGGAGCTCTTATCCAGTCCCCATTAAATGAACCCTGATTTCGTGGAAGGAACCCTGGTCCCTATAGGGTAGTCTGGCCATCAAATTACTTCTGGACACTAGGTCTTTATTTTTGTTTTACAAACTGTTCTAGAATGGTGCTGATATGCTGTGAGAGGATAATCCATTATGAGTTCGGGGCTCTGGGATGAAAACACTCTCCTGCTGACTTTTGGCCACAGACCATGTGTATGAGCCTGTATCTGTTCTCATGACTGAGGTGACTCAGTCAGTCTCGTGACTGATTGAGATGTTTCTGGTCCACTTCTCTGAGTGTATTGAGAGTGAGGCTGAATGTTTTCCTCTTCATGTCCCCTTCTTGAAATTTAAAGATATTGCCTGATCTTTCTCAAAGCTCCATGTTGATGAAATTCCTATCCATGTATCTATTACAAGGAATGTAGTCCATCTTTTGATCGTAGAAAGTATCTAAGATGTTAATGATTTTAAAAAGAAAGTAACAATTTACTACTTAATAATCCCTTAGGATTAAAGACTGATAGGAAGTTACTTCTGGGCCTTGATTTTCCTGGTGATTTACTTCAATTTTGCACCTCTAGTGGAGTATAAAAAAATATCAAATAAATAGGAAGAGTAAAACGCTAAAGATTTGTTGTTATGGTTGTTGTTGTTATATGTCATCAAATAATCCACAACTCATAGTGACCCTACGTACAAAGTGTCTGAATCCTGAGCCAGTCTCACTGATTCCAACACACTAGTCCCATTGCCCCAGTTACCATGTCAAACTGTCTCATCCAAGGTCTTCCTCTCCATCTTCCAATGACTCATCCCTCCTTACCACGTGCCCAAAATTATGTGTCAAGAAGTTTCAAAATCCTTGCCTCAAAGGAGAAACATGGTTTCACCCTCTCCAAGACAGAGGGAGCAACAAAGTGTTGAGTGTGGACGCTTTTGAAGTGGTGTCGTGAGCTCACTCAAGGTTCTCTCTCACACTTGCATCATAATGTTATAAACTCTAACTTACAGCTGTCTAAACTGACACAAAGCTATTCCTCTTGCTGTTGTCTGAGGCTGTAAATCACCAGGGAGGAGACTGCTTGTCTTTCTCCCATAATGCTACACTATTTCTGGTTAGCAGTCATCGATTAACCAAAAACACACCAGTTCTACAGAAAGTGGAATAAGTCTAGATTCCATCCTGTAGGGTTTTAACTATAAGGATAACAGATCTGTGATTCATTCTTTAAAAAAAATAATAAAAGAAAATACTTTCATAAAACAATAACAACAAGAATAATTACTATTGAATAGATTCTGGATAATGAAGACTCCGTGTATGTTTGAATAGACTTGGGTTCTAAAGTGATTTTGAGGGCTGATTATCTGGACATAGAAGGACAGACTTTTCTTTGACATATTTTGAAGCGTACTTGAACTTCCAATTTTTTGGCTAACGGATGGCTATCTCAACTATTTGTACCATCCAAGGACAAAAATGGCATATTTATCAATGTCATGGAATATCAAGATGGTTAGTGAGAGACACAAATAACATTTGTTTTCTGTGTAGAAACACAACATACATTATTATTAGTAGTATTGGACAGCTGGAGCTTCCCGACTAAATCAAGCCTGGAAGCAGGAGAGGC